GGCTGGGGAGGTTTTAGACCTTTTGCGCTCTTGGTAGCGCCAACGGGGGTGCCTTTCGGCGATGTCTGTTCCTCGGCTGGGGAGGTTTTAGACCTTTTGCGCTCTTGGTAGCGCCAACGGGGGTGCCTTTCGGCGACGTCTGTTACCTCAGGCAGGGAGGCTAGAGTGCCTTTAAACTTTGCGCTCTCTGAAACGCAGGCAGTGGTGCCTTTCTCCTCAGTCAGAGAGACTTTGAGTTTCGCGCCCTCAAAAGGGCGCACGCAGCAGTGCCTGTTAGGCAGTGACTGTCCCCTCAGCTGAGGAGGCTCTTTAAATTTGGCGCGCGCAGAGATTGTCTGCGGCTCCTGACATTCAGTGGCTTCGGCTCTTTCTTCAGTGACTTAGCTCAGCTGTCTTGCCTGGGCGTCTCTTCTGTTATCCCATCCTCGTCGCCAGTGTTGTGTTGGCAGACGGACACACCAGGCAGACACAGGTGTTGAAGAATAACGTTTCTTTTATTTGAAGAGTAACAGGTTATCGTGGCTGCCCAGCTGGGCTGGCAGCCAGCTGGCTGGAGCAGCTGATGCCGTTTGACAGCTCTTTATATTTATAGTCTGCTGTCAAACGGCACCAACCAATGGGAACAGTCGGTGCTCCTGCTCAGAATGCGGACCAGATTGAAGACTTAGCTAGTCAGGGACACTACACAAACTACCTGAGATAATGGTTAAACTGAAGGAACACATTTTGATATATATTTTTAAATCTGAAACTGAAAAATGCTGATTTGTAGTGGCACAAGTACAAATTTACTTTAAGGTAAACTGTGCTGTGAGTTATATGGACATCCAAATTTCAGCAATGTTCTTACAAAATTAAACAAATCTGAAGCTTGACACAGATTCTGAGACTATAACTATGTACCATATAAAATATGAACTTAAAATAATTAAAAGTCACTCTTTGATCAAGATAACTTGGTGAATCGGTGAATCTTTGGTTTGGGCAGGATGAAAGTGAAAAAATAAATAAATAAATTTAGGCTAATATTATTCTCTGTGTATGTATGCTATGTTAACAGGGCTGGAAAAGATATGGCTTCTATTGTTACTTAATTGGAAAGACACTTGGAACATTTTCAGAAGCAAAGACATCTTGTGAAACAAACCATGGATTTCTGATCTCTGTTGAGAATAGGTAAATATGTTGAAAGGGACAGAACAAAATATTCCATCTATCTATCAACTATCACCTATCTATTTATCATCTATCTATTTATCATCTATCTATTTATCATCTATCTATTTATCATCTATAAATGAGCTCAAGATAATTGGACCAACTATTTGCAGAAGATTATTCACTTTTTTCTCACTTTACTTAGCAAAGAAAGCAGATTTTCTGTTTATCTGCTTTTTAAACTAATTTACTTTAAAGTAAACTGTGCTGTGACACCTAGTGTAACATATGAAAAAAATGTAGGCATAGCAATCATTTTCACAGGTTTCATTTCTTAATTCTAAACTGTCCATTTATTATTTCATCCTGATGTTTGTGGATTATTCATTTTTCTGAATTATACCTAATTTTTCATACTAATTTTATATGAGTTCATTTGACATATCATCTAAAGCTTGGTTTATTTCCCTGAGTTTTCTATGGATTGCTGATTATTGTTATGATTAATGAATATTTCAAAATAAATGCTTTCCAGGGTATATTTTAATGTTAATTCAGCTCTTCAGTTCTTCCAGTTTCCAAAGATACTTCAGAGTGTATAGGAATAGTGTTTCCCAAACTCAGCAACCTTAAGATATGTGCACCAACTCCCAGAATTCCCCAGACAGCTGGGGAATTCTGGGAGTTGAAGTCCACAATGTTGAAAATTATGATGCAACTGCAACCTTGGTCAGATAGAGAGAGAGCTACCACATGTGGCTTTTTTATTTGTAACAGGGATTGGGATTGGGCAGGCTCTACCATTGGCCATGGTTGGGGATGGTTGCCTCAGGAAGCATTTACTAACAGGCCTCAGTATGTCCTTATCCTAAATCTTCAGAATAATACTGCCCCATAGTCTTTGTTGTAAGAAAGATTCAACTCCAATCCTGCTAGCCTCAATGTATGTTATGGGAGCAAACTCTTTAGCTCAGGAATCTGTAAATCTAGTATTGTACTTTCCGATCTGAGAAGATAATAATGATAATGCTGATTTTATCCTACTTTTTTAATATATAGAAATGTACTGAATACTCCTGCCTCCTATTTCCCCCACAAGAATCCTTTGAGGTGGATTGACTAATAAAAGTGTAAATTGGGCCTAAGATTAACCATCTGCAGATTCTGAAAACAGAGAAAATCAGAGACCATCCTGATTTGAATTATTTTTACCACAGATTTGAGCAGGCCTTCCTGACTAGCCAAATTGGACACCGTCCTGAAAAATATTTCTGGATTGGCCTTTCGGATGTAGCGAATCCAGGAACTTTCAACTGGACCAATGGAGACACCATTCAGTTCACTCACTGGAATGCAAAAATGCCTGGTATGGAGTCTGAGTAAATACATCCTAGCAGGAAAGCTTTTATCTTGTTAAGCTTGTCTATGGAGATGCATTAAATCTGGCTCTGGTCTTCCATTCTGCCAGGCCCAAATCCCGGCTGCGTTGCCATGAAAACAGGAGAAGCTGCTGGACTGTGGGATGTTGTCAATTGTGAGGAGAGGGCTGCCTTCCTTTGCAAGCATTTGGCTGAAGGGGTGACACCTCCTCCAATCCCGAGAGCAACGCCCCCTCCCCCATGTCCTGAAGGATGGACTGCAAGTCCAACGAGGAATGTCTGCTTCAAGGTGGGTCAGCTTGTTTTGGAGTCGAAACATTGGCTTGGTCAACCAGCCCTTTGAGACAGGCCAGGTCAAGAGCCAGACACTGCAGCAGCCTCCCAGCTTCTCCTCCTCTCCCTTCCAGGGAGAATGTGGTACCCTTCAGTCATTATTAACAATCCTCTGAAAAGCCAATACAGTGATTGGAAGAACAAAGAAAGAATCATAGAGAATATGAAAACTGATCACATTCCTTTTCAGTCAGCCTATCTTTGGCCCTCTCTCTGAAATCCCCATTAATTATATTAAGACACTGAACTACTGTGTCCCAAGAAATCCTGGTCTAAGCAATCCAATCAAGATAACTATTATTATTGAATTAGCCTAAGACAGTTATGGGACTAACAGAAAGGTTACAAGTTGGCATTTTTGTTGCAATCAATGCTTGGTATATTTTTAACTCTTTGTAACTTCATTTGTGTGGATTTGTCATAACGCTTTTTTCTTCCATTCAGTTGTGTTTGTTTCTCAGAGACTGCCTAGAGAAATCCCTTCAGAAACTTTAGCAACGTTTTTTGATTAATAGTTTGTCATTGCCTCTTTCCTAGGACTGGACTGATAGGTCCAAATTTCTCCCCCAATTTCTAACCTGATGCCTTTAATCACTACACCAAACTGGTTGCCTATCTGTTTTTTAGACACATGTCTAAATCATCATCATTACCATTATCATCATCTTGCATGGAAAGAGGAGGGGGGAATATATGTAGAAAATCCAGCAAGTGTTCTTTTACATCCAATTTGCATAGGTCTATTCATGGCGGCAACAAAAAACACCTCTCCATTTAACTTCTTCCATTTTCTCTTTAACATCAATAGGTATTCTATTAGGAGTTGTGTGGTAGCCTAGAGATGGAGCTCTCACCTCACAATCAAGAGGTTGTGAATTCGATCCTAGGTAGAGGCAGATATTTCTCTCTCAATGGGACCTAGTGAGAATATATCCGCTGAACAAAAATCCACATTGGAGACAGGAAAGGCATCTAGCCAGAAAATACTCAGCTCCATTCAGTTGCCCAGACTCCATCCCATAAGAGATTATGGGGGTCATTAAAAGATGATGATGATGATGATGATGATCAATAGGTATCCTATTGGTTAGAAAAATGTAAAAACAGAATGTATCAAACACAAAAATTTGGATAATTAATTGAAAAGATAATTAAATATGGGCCAAGAAGGGAAGTAGACAACTGCAGTGAGTATTCTCATTTGTAATGAGATGTATTTATATGCATTTAGGCATATAAAGTGAAGAGACCTGAAAAGAAAACTTGGTATGAGGCACATTACTTTTGTACATCAATTGGAGGAGACCTGGCTTCTTTTCATAATAGACAAGAGTTTATTTTACTGAATGAACTGTGAGTATAATAAACTTTATTTTTTATATCTCAAGGCAGAAACACTCCTGGCAAAGGGTTTATTGGAGCACTGAATTCATCATCATGGAATATATAACTAGTGTAAACTTCATAATCCTACATATATTCATTCTGAAGTACTTTGCATATAGTTGAGTTTTCTCTCAGGTCCCTCAGAATTAAAGATCCAATTTATATCAATAATCAGTGGGTAAATTCACCATCACTATTAAAAAAACCCAACTCCTTAAATGGTTACAACAGAAATAACAATGAATGGACAGAAGTGTAGATTGAGTTATAATTATCATCAACTCAATAAAGTATTATCAATAAAGTATTAGTATTATCCTATACACAATTACTTAAATAAGTTCCATAGTAGTCATCAGAATCTATTCCCATTCAAGTAGGTATATTTCAGCTGTAAGGGCATATGCCATATTTAAGATTTTGGATATTTCTTGGGATTATTCATTTGCTAACATGCTAATGTTCTGTATGTGAAAAAAAACACAAAGAAAATTTCAGTGTTGTATTTAATCAAGACATGTGCATAAGTTATATTTTAACATATTTGCTGATTATTATATTTTAGATCACAATATAAAATGAGCTGGGTTGGTTTAAGAATCATGGATTCCAGCCCAGGATACACTTGGACTGACGGGTCTCCTGTAAGTATATGATTAGAATGCAAAATGCAAATGTTAACTGGAATTTCTGGTATTCTTAATATTTAATGTAATACAGTATTAGTAATATTTCTTGTAGATATTTTCATAGACATATAGCATTATTCTAGTTAACAGTTTAAGTATTAAAATCTTAATCTAACAAGATGTTGCTATTTGATTTGATTCAGGTTATTTTGACAGTTTCTATGGCTGCTAGAGGTTTGATTGCATCGTTCTTACAGAACTTAGAAACTACTTGAAATCTTTCATTTCACATCCTGCTAATTTTTCCTTTATCCGTTTTTGCTGAAGTGAGAGGACTTCCAGTTAATTAAGAATAGCTGAGTGATCCTTTTCCTAAGTATCATGTTGGGTATTTTCAAATGCTTACAACTTTAAGCTAGATGTCCAATATGTCATGTATTCCTAATGGTAATAAAAGTGCAATTGGTGGATCATAGGGTGGAATACAGATATCACGGCAGTTTATGTGTTATGTTGTGAAAACTGCTGTTGCTGCTATTGGGCCCATTAGAGCCATTTGATACTGATGATGCTGTTGCCAGACGAAGAAGATAATTTTTCATAATATCTGAAGAGCAACAAAATTAGAGGGCTGAGTGGTTGACCATATCATCATGGTATCTGAGACCCTGGAAAAAAGGCTGAAAATCAATTGAAAAGTAAAAGAGATTTAGAGAGATCAAGGAGATAGGTGGAAATTCACATTTTGGTGATGACCCAGAAAGAGGGTCAATGCAAGGAAGATGGATACACTTTGGGGAGGAAGGAGTGACCTGAGCAAGCAACATTTCTAAATACTAGATTTCACTCATCCGGCTCCTTTTCTCTGCTAGCAGAAAAATCTGTATCACTATGGAGGACAAAAGAAAAGTGACAGAAAAGTGACACGGATTCAGGGTAGGGGGAGTGATGAATGCACTCTTGGATGATGGACCAGTGTACATGCCTTGAAGAAGTGTGTTTTCTACCTTTTCAGAAGAATAGTTTGATCCCGTGGTGGGATTCAATTTTTTTTTCTACTGGAGCTTGGTGGGCGTGGCAGGGGAAGGATACTGTAAATCTCCAGTCAGAGGTGGTATTTGCCGGTTCTCCAATCTACTCAAAATTTCCGCTATCAGTTCTCCAGAACTGGTCAGAACCTGCTGAATACCACCTCTGATTTGATCCAAAAATATTAGACAATAATTTACCTATATCCAACTTTCTTTAGAACTCTGAAAGAAACTAATTACATGGAACCATATTTTTAAGTCTGGAAGTGGAAACACACAAGTCGTATTTATACCCTTAGTAAGACCACACCTAGTGTACTGCATCCAGTTTTGTTCACCACACTATAAAAAAGATGTTGAGACTCTAGAAAAAGTACAGAGAAGAGCAACCAGGATGATTAGGGGACTGGAAATTAAAACATATGAAGTATGGTTTCAGGAACTTGGCATGGCTAGTCTAGTGAAGAGAAGGACCAGGGGAGACATGATAGCAATGTTCCAATATTTGAAGGGCTGCCACAGAAAGGAACGGGTCAAGCTATTTTCTAAAGCACCACAAAGAATAATGGATGGAAACTAAACAAGGAGAGATTTAACCTGGAAATAAGGAGAAACTTTCTGACAGTGAGAACAATCAACCAATGGAACAGCTTGCCCTCGGAAGTTGTGGAAGTGCCATCACTTGAAACTTTCAAGAAGAGATTGGACTCCCATCTGTCAGAAATGGTGCTTGGGCAGGGGGTTGGACTAGATGACAAGGCCCCTTCCAACTCTGATTATTTGTTATCTGTTATAGCTGATTTTTGGCAAGGTCATGATGGAGTATTGCACTCTTGTTGATATTACTTGACTTCTCAGTGACTTTTCATTGCCATCAACCATGGTATCCTTCTGGATTAATTCTGTGAACTGGGAAAGAAGAACACTATTGTCATGATCCTTCTTTCTGAAGGAAGGATTTCAATTGGCATGGTTGTCAAATTCTAAACCATGAATTATGGTTTGTCCTCAGAGCCTGATACCCTTCCCACTTTTAGTTAGCATCTACCTAAAACTGGTCAGGAATATGATCCATTGATATGAGGTTAAATATAATCAATGAGGGATATATAACTTTATACCTCAGCCATTGATTCATTTGAGTCCCTTTTTCTGATTTCTGGAGTTTACTAGGTTCTGGAGGGGATAAATATTCTAATTTATTAATTTATTTAATTTATATGCTGCTCATCATACCCATAAGGCTACTCTGAGTGACTTACAAAATGGTAAAAAGATAAACATAGAAACAGTTAAAATTGAGAATACTTAAATAATACCTTAGGGATTTTAATCCCATCAAGATGAGGCAGTTTGAAGTTAAGAAGCAAACTGGCTGCAGGGAGATTCCATCTCTAGTTATGGATAGAATGATGCTCCCTTGAGATATACTGCAATTATGAGGAGGAGATACTTTTGCACAACTTCATCTATTGTGCCATTTACAGCCTGTCTTAGGATGTGAGACATTATTCACAGTCACACCTATCTTGCTTTCATACTTGGACTGCTGAAATATGCTGTACATGGGGCTGCTTTTAAAGACTATATAGAAGATTCCCCTATTGATTCTTGTCCTATCCTCAAAACCTTGTCCTGTCTCCTTGTCCTACCCTACCTTCAATGTTTTATAACTCTATCACAGGACTTCTGGAACAACGTAAGAACAAAGCCATACAGATACCTTGAAAAGTTACAACTATTGTTAGCTCCTCTTTTAGTGTTACACCATATTTTGTGTTAAAATATGTGAAGTTGTATATCAATACACTGGATCACTGAATCATGCTAATATGAAAAGTACATGCCAGCTGCCACTTCTTCAACCATGTTGGTAAAATTTTGCTAATAGTCCATTAAACATGTGGACATTATTAAAAAGTAGTTATTGTACATTTGTTTCTTTTTCCAAATGTTAAAATTTATGGCTATAGAAAGTGAATATGTAAATATATTTTAATTTTACTGTAGGTAAACTATGAACCAGCAATATATTGGTTTTCAGAAAATGAAAATAATGAAAGATGCAGATCAATATGGGGAAATAAAAGATATTGGGATGAAGAGAAATGCTGGCTGTTATATAATTGGATCTGCCAAATTACAAGAGGTAATACGTTTTTCTTTCTCATGTAGTTTATTAGTATAAACAACAAAGATTTATTCATTGTACAACTGTAAACCTTGTTTTTTTAGCATTCACATGATGGTTCCTTTCTTTTAAGGGAGAAATTTAGGAGTCTTAAATACAATTAACTTTTACTGCAGATTTTATATTCATATATACAACTTAAGTAATACAATACAATGTCAAATATATATATGATGCTCAAGTATTTAGTACACGGTATTATTGATGACAAAAAATAATTTGTGATAATAATAGCAATAATGTTAATAATCTATTAAATGTATACACTGCCTGACTTTCAATGATTCTGAGCTCATAAGAATCAAACACATAAATTACAATAAAACCAATAAAAAGATATAGGATGTCAAGTGCAGTGAAGTGAGGGATCTGATTCTTCACGAGCCAGGGCTTTATAGTTCTTTAAAAAATGGGGGCCATTTGGATTTTGGGGAAAACTGGAATCTAGATTTCTATTATTTTTTCCCCTTGCAAATGCAGAGGTACATTAAGCTAGTACAACATTTCACTTTTTGTGGATTGCCTTTTGCAAAATGGAGTGATAAATTTAGCTTGAATTCCTTATAATTAAAATATTTAATTTTGCAGGTTCAACCTTAAAAGAAGAACCAAATGACAACTTTGGTACGTTGGGCAATTTAATGTCAGAAATATAATATTTATCAGAAGCTATGGCTATGCACTGTATTTTAGTTTGATTTGAATCAGATTGCTTTGAGTTAAATTTGGCTGTATGACATAAAGGAACATTTCTAAAATGTGATGCATGATGGTTGAGTTTGTAAGCAGACTAATTTCTCAGACCACTGAATAAAGCTAGACATTAGCTCTGCATGATGTAGAACTACAGACATTGTGATTTTCCTTATGTGAAAGGAAGGTGCCATCGTTCTCTTCACAGGCATTAATTGAGTAGGGATTTCCCTAGTATATGTAGAAATATAACCAAAGAGTCGTTACTAAAAAAATAGGGTGCTTTTCATATCCATAAGAAATCATTGGACATGTTTAGAAAACATTCCCAAACATGCAAAGCTTTAATGAAGTGATAGTGATTTGATTGACTCAAGTGAGCTAAAGCAACAACCCATTTCTCTCTCCAGCTAGTTCTGAAAGCAAATTAAAATGGCCTTGTTGAGGTATTCCCCATTAGGAGAATGAATGCACTCAGGGAAATGTAGTGAGAATGATGTTGAATAACACACGACCAGCATACAGATACACTGAATAATAAAATGTAGGTTTTACTTTCAGTAAACGGGTAAACAAAGTCCAACAAACAGTCCAAATCATACATGGTTAAATCAGTTAGTATCAGTCCAGGGATAATCCAAAAATGAAGTCAAGTATCATAAACAAAATTCAGTAAATGGAGTTTGCTAACAGTTGCAAGACTCACAGCAATCCAAGTGGAACGACGATCAGGCAATATGGCAAAACAGGAAATGCAAGGAGAAAGAAACCAGGTTTCTGGCTCTATCTTATGGCCATTGGAGGAACCTCAGCCAATCACAATTTCAGCATTCTCTTAAAGATACAGTATTAAATTACTATCCTGGTTTATATATTTTCAACCCAACTGTTAGGTGACTATCATTCCTAACAGGCCTCCTCACTGCTTTGCTTTACACTGCTTTGTCCTATGTCTCATCCAAGTATATCTAATACCCAGAAGAGATATTTGAGTATTCTGGAATATTTGCGTAGAAGCCTCTTCCAGTTATTGGAAGCACTCAGTTGAGGTCAGTTTGCCAGCTGTTACACGGATGTGTCTTTTGGGTGTGCTTGTTCATATTCAGAAGATCTTGGAAGGAAGAGCTCTGCCCAAAAGGACAGCACATAATCATCAAGTGGCTCTGTTTGCTTTGTGATTTTGTGAAATGGATACGAAGGGATCCTAGACATATTAGTCATTTCTTCTACTTATTTTGCAGAGAGTAATTATACAAGAATTGAAGATGGATGGATTCAATTTGAATACAATGAGTATTATTTCAGTAATACAACAATGCCTGCAGAAAAAGCCCGGAAGTTCTGCAAACAACATCATGGTGATCTTACCACCATTGAGAATAAACAAGAAAAAGTGTTTTTGCGGAAATATGTAAGAAATATATGCAATAATTACCTATGAAAAATAACAAGCTTTATAAAGTATATGTGTGGTAGGTGCATATGTATGTATGTTCTGCAAAAAACATGGTGGTGGTCATTGAGACTAAAAAAGAAAAAATATTTTTGTGGAAATATGTAAGAAATGTATGCAATAATTACTTATTCAAAATAGATGGTTTCAGAAAATGTACGTGTGTGTGTGTGGTGTGTGTGTGTGTGTGTAATACATGTGTGTGTGATGTGACATCCAGAAGTTTTCAGAAATTGAAAAATTTCTTTTTAATTCTTGGATAAAATATATATTAAGATGAGGCCCATTAAATTAACATCAATGGAAGTTTAATGCAGTCAACTTAGTTGGAAACAAATTATTTAAAAAACACAATAATGTAGGTGCTACCGTTTTACTCAAATGAACATTCAAAAGTACTACAATATTAAAAAGCAGAACATATTTCAAAATTATATCATTTATTTTATGATTAGTTGCTTCCATTCAAGATGACTTGCAAATCACCATTACTTTATATTAAAGCAGTAAATAATTATTTTTATTTCCTATTCTTTCTTTTATGTATTAGGCCTACCATTATGGAATTGGTTATGATTCTTACATTGGTTTAACCTTGGGTCTTGACAAAAAGTTTGGGTAGGTGAATAATGTATATAAAACATTAACAAATGTTGCAGTGTGCAATATAATTCTGTTTTAAATTATTTTTAATAATACACTTGATTAAAAGATGTTATTAAGCTCTTAGCAAAACCCTTGCCAAGATTTTGACAGGTTTTTTTAAAAAAACAAGATTTATTGAAGGGAAAGCAATAAGATTTTTTTTAAAAAAAAATCAGCTTTCATGACAATGCTTTCATTTTGGAACACAATTTATCACTCTGTTTCTTAAGATAAGCACTTCTTCAGTTTTTAGTAATCTATGAGCCAGCAAGGAAGCAGTTCACCAAAGAATGTGCAAATAGGCAGGCTGTGAATCTCTCTCAAGCTCTGAACATGCCATTAGAGATTTGATAATAAAAAACCTAAGCACAGACATGTAACTGTGCAACAATGTGCAGCCATGTGATATTTCAACCTTTTGAACATTATTAGTGTAACTGTGCAGCCATGTGATATTTCAACCTTTTGAACATTATTAGGGTACAATCACGATTGAGCCCAAAATTTCTGTTGCTAAGCAAGACACTTATTAAGTGGATTTTGTTTCATTTTACCACTTATTTTAACTCAGTTGTTAAGTAAATCACTGCTGTTGTTAAGTTAGTAACATTTGACTTTGCTGATTAGAAAGTCACAAAAGGCCACAAAAAGCCACATGACACCAGAAGACTGTATCTGTCCTAAATATGAGTCAGTTATCAAGCATTTGAATTTTGACCATGTGACCATGGGGATGGTGCAATGGGGATAAGTATAAACAATAGTCATAAATCACTTTTTTCAATGCCGCTGTAACTTTGAACGGTCACTAAATAAATTGTTATAAGTCAAGGACTACCTGTATTAGAGTCCCAGAATTTCTTTTTAAAAAATCTAGATAATTGACAATCTAGTAAGCTTTTATACATATCAACCTGTGATTCAATGACTGTCAAAATTAGGGTGGCACTGAGTGAAGGGACCCTCAACTGGTCCTCAAAGTTCTGGCCATGATTGCATGAACAGAATTTGGACAACAGCTGGCAAGCAGCTTATGACTTGTTGCAGCATCCTTTGGTCATGTGATCACCCAAACTTTTCTGAAGGCTTTCCACAAGAAAAGTCAGCAGGCCGGAACTTCCGGTTTGTCGGCTTCGCGAGCGGCAGGGATTCGCGAAGCTGCGCGATCCCTGCTGCGCTAGCCGCTTTTGGTGCTCCGATCCGGACAGGTCCGGAGCTAGGCTGCCCTGCAGGGGCAGCTGAAGATAGGGGGGATCCGGAGAGGGGTTTGGGGGTGTTGCAGACCCCTTCCCCGGCCGGCAGAACCCCCTTTTCCCAAGACGGTGCAGCGGCGGTCCGCAATGGCCGCCACAAAGAAGCTGGCAGCCGGGTAAGAATGCGCAGGAGGAAGTGGAGAAAGTTTTTGAAAAGAGAAAGTTTTTCTTGGTTCCCAGGACTCTAAGACATATTTAACAAAACTCCTGAAAATTATGACTTTCTGAATGATACCTTCTAGAAGAGGAAAAAAGCGGCAGTTTGGTGGTGCTGAAAGGAAAGTTTACTCTCCTTCCCGACAGAATTAATAAGTGGACATTGAGAAACCTGTTTTTTTCAGGTAAAACTAGCTTTATGGGATAAGTCGGAAGGGAGAGGACAAAAAATATATTCATCTGGTTTGATTTTGTTGGAGGAGATGCCTTAAGGATTTGAAGACAGAAATAGAACTCCAATAAGGCTTCAAAATACAGATTTGGACTTTCTTTTTTCTTTTGTCTGATACTACCCCTGGAAGAGAAAGGGAGAATTTTGTCTTGGCTTGGATTGATTGAGGATTGTGGATTTTGGGATTGTTTCACTTTTTTTTTGAAATATCTTGGTTGGTGTAAGAAGAAAGAAGGGAAAAAAGAAAAGAAAAGATCTATAATGGCTTTTTCTTTTGAGGAACTGAGGGAAGAATATGAGCAAACAAAAGCAGCCGGTAAAGATGGTATGGAAAAAGCCTTCCTATTTTTAGAAATGGTGCTGGTTAACTATCAACAAACAATACAACAGATGGAGGCAGAAGAACAAGAAGAAGAAGAAGATGAAGACGCCATCTTTAATGAATTCCAAAATTTAACTAAGAAAGAAGGAAGGAAGAAAGCGAGGAAAATGAAGGACTTAAGATCTAAAAAAACATTTAAGAAAGAGAAAAATAAGATGCAAAATAAATATAATGATAGTAAACAAAAGAAAAGGGGAACACAACAGAGAAGGGATGCCAGCAAGGCAGAGGCTAGAAGAAGGGTGGGTAGGAAGATTTGGTGGGGGAAGAAAGAAAGGGGAAAGGCGGAGAAAAGCCACAAAGTTTTGAAATTAGATGGGAAAAGAGGAATTTTTTTTAGGGACAAAGGGTAAAGTACAATTTCCTTAAGAAAGATTTTGCAAGGTACATAAGATGGTATTGTAACATCTGTATTAGAAATAGAAAATTAGAATGGCTTAAGAGTTAATAAGAAATTAAAATGTTGAAATGTTTAACAATGATTGATTTTAAAATGTAATAAAATATTAAAGGGAAAGGCAATGGGAATGTTATAAGATTTAATATTTAGATTTATTATTTAACTATGTATTTAATCATTTTGGATTTATCACTTTGTTTTTATGATTATTAAAAGAAAAAAATTAGTAGATAGAATGTACCAAGCAGAATCAGATTGGGTATTAGGTGTTATTTTAAATGTTAATCTAATTAATTTAGGGGGAGGATAGAAAGGCATCATACTCTGATTAGTGATTTCAGGAGAAATTCTTTTTTTTTTTTTATAAGGAATGAGATAGAGGGATAATAAAGAATGGGCAAAAGATACAAATATAATGATTTAAATTAAGATGGATTAAATAAGATAGAATTATGAAGAGTGAAATGTGTGGAGAAGTTTATATAGAAGATATAGAAAGGTAAACAAAATAGGTAATGATATGTAAGATGAGCATGAATATAATTGAAGCCCATATAAAGAGAAGTACCTGGGGCCAAGTTACTTTCCTAAAAGATTTTTTATATGTTTGTTTGTTGTGTGTTTATGTTTTTGAGAGTATTAATAAAACCTTGTAGAAATACAGAATGAGAATAATGGTAATCAAGTCAGAAAGAAATAGATGAAATAATAATAGTGAAATTGAATAAGAGTAAAGAGAAGTAAAGAGAAATTGGATAAGAGGTATTTTTATGCTCATATGGAAATGGCTTAAAATAGAATTGTATTGTATAAAATAAGGTTTTATCTGACTTGTAAAATTTATAATGGAAAAAGGTTCAAATATGTAATGGTTGATGATGATTTGTTTGTCTTTGAAATTAATAAAATTTGCTTAAAAAAAGAAAAGTCAGCAGGGAAGCCAGCAAGGAAGGTTATGAATTGCTTGTATTATTTCAGTTACTTTTGTTTTACAATGTCCTTGGCAGGATTATTTTGTCTTTAAATAATGTAGAGATTGAATAATGGAAGTATATAAACCATTTGTAATTCTAATTCTTCTAGCCTCACACCACCCGTTCTCAATCTTTCAGCGGTTTTTGTGCATTGAGAGCAACTATTTGGACCTCAACAGGAATGTTTTATCATTGTACAAACCATTTCATAAGTGTTGTGATTCGGAAATGGTTTTGCTTGGATTTTGAAGTTTCATGATTGAAACAGACTTTTTCCAAAGCTTAGAATGGTCAGAAACAGTTTCAGGCCAATATTTTGCAGATATTTCAACAGCTACCTTTTTTCCTCTTCATCCTGCTATCTCTTTGGCAAAACAAGGAATAATAAAAAAGTAAGTTTAATAAATTCATGCATTGTAGATGACTGACAAATATTTTTCTTCAGCTGGATGGATGGAACTCCCGTGACATATGAAGACTGGGCCCCCGGTGAACCCAACTTTGCAAATGATGATGAAAACTGTGTAGTTATGTATTATAATTCAGGCAAGTAAACAAAAACTTCATGTTTTTCACAGTTCCCTGTATGTATATGTTCAGGATAAGGTACAGCATTGTTTAATTTGGGCTAACTGGCACACATTTTCATAGATTCTACCATTAATATATTGGAAAACCATTATTTTGTAACTCTAATTAGCATGTTTTACATTATGATATATTAACATTAACAAAAGTATAATATTGTAGCATATTATAATATTAGAAGAGCCTCTATGGTGCAGTGGTTAGAGTGCAGTACTGCAAGCTACTTCTACAGCCAGCCACCTGTAATTTGGCAGTTCAAATCCCACCAGGCTCAACATTGACTCAGCCTTCCATCCTTCTGAGGTGGGTAAAATGAGGACCCAAATTGTTGGGGGCAACATGCTGACTCTGTAAACTGCTTAGAGAGGGCTGTAAAGCACTATAAAGTGGTATATAAATCGAAGTGCTATTGCTAAGTGCTATATTCTCCAACCAAGAATTTATAGTTTTATCCATAGATCCAACTCTACTTTACTTAGTTACTGTATTATACTATCCCAGGGAAAACCAATTTACAATTCTCAGATACCCCAAATAGTCTTGGTTTTTTAAATTAAAAAGTTATTTATTTTTATATTTTACACATCTCTTCACGTGAGCAACATGATTCCAGATTACATTTATACATAGTCATACTTAATTTTCCAACTTTCTTATTTAATATCACATCAAATTATTATCCACTCCACTAATCTTTAAATAAATTTCTATTTCATATTTCAATTCATTAATTCAATATCAAAATCATTTCCTCACATATATTTCCAATTCTTTATCCCCTATTATTTCCATTTTCAGCTTACCACCTATTTTGTTTTGCCTTAAACATTATTATCTTCATTAATTAACTCAAGACCAACATATAATAAACACTGAAAAAAATTAAAAATTAAATTAAAATAAAATCAATGTATTTAGGATCCACATGGTATATTCCTCAATCTACAATATATCTTATATTTATTCCAACACTATTCATATAACCATTTCATATTTTTTCTTTTATTTCCACATAGTCAAATTTTACCCCTATAATTTAAATAAAGTTTCATTCCCCTACTTTTAATTATAATATAATATTATTATAAAATTCCAATATGATCCATATTTTTAATGTTCTCATACCCTTTCTTTAGTCAGTTATAATTTCTATTTCATTCCATCATCAGGCTTCTGTATTGTGTTCGTCTGTGAATCAGACTTTCACAGCTGTTTCTGTTTTAAATTTGGTGCTAGCCTACTGCTGTGTTAGAATTGTTTTTTTCTTCATCCTGATTGGTTGGGAATCTTGGTCTGTGTTTATTGGTCTTGGAGTTTGCTGTGTTCTGTTTGATTGGTGTTTCTAATATCTTCTGTTTGTTTTATAGTGTTGTTGTCTTGATTGGCTGGCAACATTGTGTTTCCTATATCGGAGGCTTTTAGTGCGGCTTGGCTTCGAGTAAACGGACAGCTATCCTTTATTAGGAAGCTAGGTTTCATCTGGATGCCTGGCTGGGGTGTGTTTGAGCTGGAGATATCAGGGGGGGTCTGTTTGTGCCCAGGTGTTTGCTTGGCTTGTGGTGTGGAGATTTTTTTGTTTGTGAGTGCAGGCTTCCAGATAATCGACAGTCTGGTGGAGTAATCTCTTCTATTCATGCTTTCAGGTCTTTTTTCAATCTCTATGGCTTCTCTGATAATTCTGTAGCTGGGGTTTTCTATAGTGGCTAGGGTTTTGGTGCCATTGAATTCGATGCTATGACCTGTGGCTTTCATGTGTTGGACTAATGAGGAAGTGTGTTCCAGCTTTTTTACTGCATTTTTGTGTTCATCCAGGCGGGTACTTATTCTTCTATTGGTCTGTCTGATGTATGTGACAGGGCATGATGCATAGGGGACTTCATATATGCCTTGGTTTTCCAGGTCAATTTTATCTTTGGGGTTTCTTAGGATGGCTGCTATATTTGTCTATTTTGAAGGCAGTCTTGATGTGATGCCTGTGTAGTATCTTACTGATTTTGTCTGTAGTACCTCTTATGTAGGGCAGGACAGCTGTTCCATAGGTCTGTTCATCTTCTAGGTCTCCATTATGTCTCAGTGTGTTTTTGTGGATCAGGCCTGTGATTTTGCTTTTGTGGAAGCCGTTGGCTGTCAGTACTTTAGTCAGGGTGCATAGTTCAGTCTTTATGTGTGTCTTGTCTGCCAGGTGCTTGGTTCTGGCAATTAGTGTTTTGGCCTCGGAGTTTATCTGTGCTGGATGGTGGTGGGATTGGGCGTTGAGGTAGCGGTTGGTGTGTGTTTTCTTCTGGTATATGGTGTGTCCTAGTGTGCCATCTGTTTTTTTGTAGATTAGTACATCTAGGAATGGTAGTTGTTTGTTTCTGTTTCTATGGTGAATTTGATTTTGGGGTGTGTGCTGTTTAGGTGTGTTAGGAAATTGTTTAGGTTTTCTTTTCCATGGGGCCAAATGACAAATGTGTCATCGATGTATCTTAGCCATAGTTGGGTTTGTGGGTGGCATTGGCTAGGGCTCTGGATTCGAATTCTTCCATGAACAGGTTTGCAATGATGGGTGACAGTGGTGATCCCATAGGGGCTGTTTCAATTTGCTTGTATCTTTGTCCTTTGTATATTGGTTGGTTAAGCAGTGTTCTGCTAGTTCCATGAGGTGTTTGGGTGGTTGGTATTTATTTTTGATGATTTCTAGGGTTTCTTTTATCGGGACTTAAGTGAATAGTTTAAATTTAAAACAGAAACAGTTGTGAAAGCCTGACTCACAGATGAACACAATACAGAAGCCTGATGATGGCAGATGAGATTCTGCCGAAACGTTGCTACAACTTTAAAAGCATAACTATAATGACGTGGGAAAATACCTGAACAAAGCTGAATACCATACATATAGATACCCACGAAAACTTAAGAAT